TTTTCTGGAATGAATAAAAGAAAAAAGGCGATTATTTTAATAGAGCTGGCGAAAATACATGAAAAGATAAAATCTTCGATAAAACGAATAATTAAAATCCCACAGGTATTCGTGAGCCTGAATAAGCTCGATCAATCTCGATTCTGTAAAAGTATTAATCCTATGACTATCCGCCATGATGATGAACTATTTTCAATGTTGTCACTGTATGACGTGGCATAAAGGCGTTTGTTGATTGGATGCGCGTTTGCAATCGTCGCGAGTAGAACAAACTTTTTGTTTCTAGTTGCGATTGCAGTCGCGCCGGTTTTCGAGGGGAAATTACTAGTTAATGGGAACAGCCGTCGCGGTTGCAGTCGCCTGCGCGACTGGAAATCGCATAATGTGACCAGGGCCTTAGACAGCATTAAAATAGATTTCCAATGGGCTCCGTGTCATGCTGGGCCCAAACAAGTTGCAAAGTCTTCAGTCACTAGTACTTTCAGTTACATTCCTACCTCGTACATCAACGATCACGTCAAGAAGCAAATCTTCATTTTCTGGCAAGACAGTTGGGACCACGACACCGCTGGTAGGCTCAAATACAGTTTCATTCACAAGGTTGACACTGCTGCGATTCTTTGCCACTTTAACCCTAGTTACACCCTCGCTCAGCTATTTACGGGACACGGCAACTTTAAGCAATACTTGCATAGATTTAACCTCAGGGACATTCCACAATGTGATTGTGGTATTTAGGAGGACCAAACACTACTTCACTTAGTTTTTCGCTGCAATAGGTACAGTACAATCACGTTACGGATAGCTTAAAGAGAGCCGCTATTCTTGAAGGGTATAACTGGCCTCGCAACCCGCACCAACTTTCGCGCACGTAAAATGTTCCATCATCTACTCTCATTCGTATCTCTTAGTGGGGCTCTCGAGAGCACTCACTCCTGCGCACGGATGGCAATTAGCTTTCCCTCGCTTTGTTTCAACTGTCGGTATATTGCTTTTCAACTTTGTATTTTAATTCTTATTTTCTGTCTTCTTTTTCAGCCTAAATTCGGTTAGTCCTATTTGTAAGTTAGATTAAGGGACTCTTAGTTTGCTTTCCAATTAGGTTAAATTAGATTAGGGTTTATTAGCTTTAGTCTTCTGGTTAGGTTTGTCCTTGGTTATGATACATTAGTTTAATTAATGAATAAGTTAATGTTTTTAAAAAATAAATAAAAAATTTGGGGTGTTGCTTGTTTGTCTCTATCGGTCCTTTCGTTTCGTCTAGATTGCCATTATGTCCGTTTGCTATTCGCGCTGTCTGTCTGGCTATTAGGTTGTTTTAAGATTCACGCTCGCTTTCAGTTTTATTAGTATTAAGTAGATATAATTCTTTCTACTAACAGCTTCTTGGCACTAACGTCTACACTTAGCTATTCTTGACGGCACTCAATTATTGGTGTTCGCTATGCTCGGGTTTTCTTTTATACCCTTCGGAGGACTAAGGCCTTGCCGCCTAAAAACTGCGCGCCAACATCAAACATAATGGGTATTGTAGCCATACGTACGCCGTTCTGAGGAATCTACCTTTCTCTACTGTCTATCTTCTCTCCCTCCCCTTTCCCTTACTTTGTTTTCTGCCGGCTAAATACCTCGCGTACGGCCGATGTCTTTTATGTATATGGTATGCATATGGTAAGGTTGCTTTAATATGAGCATCGTCTGTCTTTTGCTTATGCCTTCCTTTTTGCAGTTCATTTACCAGATTTATTCCCATTCCTTCACTATCAGTCTTCACAGCTTCTCTGCTGAAACTGTTAGCAATAATTATAACAATTTAATGAAAGCAACATATTATCCACTTCATCGTAAATAAAAATCTTGTTCTTTAATATAATCAAATATTGCGTATAATACTGAATTATCAATTACCGAAAGTACACTTATTTTTGACATTATCATTATTATTAAATATTTAAACTTTTCTTGGAAATATCTTTTTTTAACCTGGCCAGTGGCGCGGCCTTCGTTACTCTTTTCTCAGCGGGCGCAGACCCGGCCTTTTAATCCGGTCCGTGGTGGCCGGGGATGGACCCAATCCCGAAAATCCCCGAAGTTTTTCCGTCCCTGGTTCCCGGACGGCCGCTCAGCCGGATCCCGGTGTAGGTAAAGGATAGAAACGTCTCTTTTATACACACCTAGCAAAGTTGCGGGCCTTCTCGATACAAAGACCTCTCGAAAACCCCAGAGCTATTTTCCGACTCGTAACTTTGTATTACAGTATTTACCGGAACGCCACCGTTTCTCGGTCAGTGGAAAGGGGGAGCCTTGGTGGAGTTGGAACTTAATTCCACGGAAAATACCGTGCGACTTCTGGCGGAAGGAGAGGACGATCCCCGAAAAATTTCCGCCCTTCTTTGCGCGTCGGAGGATCACCTCTCCTGGGCCGCGCCTACGGACGCCTTCTACGTTCGTAGCGTTTATCTTACCAAATAGTGTAGAAAGTTACCTTTTATCGTTCGAATTATGCGTTTCTTTACGCTTTCGGGAGACGACGGTTACTTTCAAATAATTAAAGTTTGACGAAAATTTACTGTTGAAATTTTCTTCTTCAGATCGAAAATGGCCTGATCCGGTACAGACTGGACTGCGGTAGCGGAGAAGGCGTGATAAGGGTGGAAAGAGCGCCGGTGAACGACGGCAATTGGCACGAGATACGTTTGGAAAGAAGAGGAAACACGGCGGAATTAGTGGTGGATCGGAGACATCGAGCCTCGGGCACCTCGCCCGGATTTTACGAAGTTCTAAACCTGGACGGAAGCGACGTGTACTTCGGAGCGGAGGTGCGTTCCGCCGGTTACGCCGACGTCAGAATGGGATTCGTAGGATGCATGGACGAAATATTAATCAACGGAATCTCCCTCCCTCTTCACGTCACGGCCGGAAACCCGGTGGCCACTCTCAGAAGGTATTTGTCTATTTATTCGTTTATACCGCGCTTTTCTCTTCCACTCCCGACGATTTGCCACTTTTGCCGGACAGCGGATTTTAACGGGCGTGACTTAACTTCGCCCGTTATTTCAATAGCCGAGGAGTCAAAGGGTAACGTTCCCCCTCCGGGCGCCGCAGTCCGATTTTATTCTTAATATTCCGGGGAAAGAAAGAGAAGAAGCGGAAAGGTGCATTTGCCCAAAGAGATAGAGAAACTTTTACTGTGGACGAGCGAGAAAAGGGGGAGGCTCCGATTTTTAAATCGGAAAATGCCAAAGTATTTTACGAAGGGGTCCGAAAAACGCCGGCAATTTCCTTTAAGGCGCGGTCGGTAACCTCTTTGTAAATTTAGGGCCCGTAAATTTAAAATTTTTATAAATTTAGGGCCTCTTTGTAAATTTAAAAGGTGGTGGTTTTTAGTTTCCGCGCGTAGGAAGGCGACCAAAGGCCGGGCGGAGGTGTCGGTGGGTCACCGCATCTAGGTAAAGGCGGAGGCGTTTACAGTTAGCCGTATTATAAAATGGACCGGTCCTAATTTTATGCCATTTATAAGTCTTATTAAATAGAATTTATTCCTTCTGCTCTTATGGGACCCCCTGTGGTAAAAAGGTGGTTGGGGTAAGCGGCGGGTCCGGCCACGGCGTGTTTTTTCAAACCCGTCTGTGTATTAAAATAGGAAGTTTTTCTGCCGGTGGGGCCCGCTCCTTATTTACCTTAGTTTTGCCGTCACCCCTGGCCTTCTCACGGTGTAATAATAATTTCCAAGTTTGGGTGACGAGTTTTTTGGGCGCTCCTTCTATTGAGTTTCCTGATTATTTGCTTAACGCGCGCAAAAACTTTCAATTTTTCGGAATTTAAAGAAGGAATAATTAGTAAATTTTCGTCCGAATGGCAATTATATTATTAGTTTCTGAAGACAAAGTCTGCCCAAAAAGGGTCCACCGCGCTGTAAAAAACTGAAATCATTTGTAAATTTATTAAAGTAAAAATAAAAAAATAAAAATGTACTTAGTGTAAGATCTAGTAACAACTACGCAAATTATGTAATCTCATCAAGCGCCATCTATGGCAAGAAATGTAATCATTTTGGTACTAAAATTTTTATCACACGAAAAATCCCGTTTCTTTCTAAGCATTTCCGTGAAAACCGCATCATCTTACTGTAAATAGTTTGCGAGTTATTAATTTTTATAAATTCCTGTGACTTGAATCACCCTGTACTGTACTTTCCCCCGGAAGACGGACCCACTCTGTGGGCGATAGTCCTTCTCCGTAATTGTTACCGCCTGCTTCTTATCCGTTCGAAAGACCTTACAACTAAACTCGCGCCTATTTATTTTGCAGGTTCGTCAACGTGGACTTTCATTGCCGAACTCTTTTCGATCCCGGCGTCTGCGGAAGCCAGCCCTGCCAAAACGGAGGAACCTGTCAACCCAGGGAAGACAGCTTTACCTGCCAGTGTCTGCCCAGGTTTCTGGGAACGTTCTGCGAGATCGACACTAACCCCTGCGGTTCCAATCCTTGCCTCAACGGCGGAACCTGCCGCAACCTCAACGGAAACTTTCAGTGCCACTGCCCTCCCGGTCTGAGCGGCAAACGCTGCGACTACGGGCGTTACTGCAACCCCAATCCCTGTCGCAACAACGGCGTGTGCGAGGAGGGCACCGCCAATCCCATCTGCAAGTGCCCCGGATTTCACGGAGAGTTGTGCCAGTACGACGTCGACGAGTGCCAAAATAACCCCTGCGCTTCCGGAGCCACTTGCGTCAACGTGCACGGCGCCTTCCACTGTCGTTGTCCGCCCAACATGACGGGATCGCTGTGCACGGAGCACATTTACGTAACTTCCGTAACTTCGTCCAGTTGGAACACGACGATAGAAGAAATAGTCGGAATAGCCCTAGTTATATTTATTATTTTTCTATTGGCCTTGATGCTAGTTTGTTGTTGGAGATACAGGTACAAAAGGTACCGACAGAGACCCAATAACCAGAACGTCGATCTCCCCGGACGCAACGAATTTTTACTGAAGAATCCGGTGGGAGAAAAAGAAAACTTGCAGAGATATAACAAAATTACCAATTTAGAGGTGACGACTAACTTTGCCACTCCCCCGCTTCCTCCCCGTCCCTCGTCTTACACTCCGACCACGCAGGAGTCTTTGACCACGCTGAACAACTTCGACAGAGTCCGTAGTTATGGCAGTGCCGCCGACGATCTCGATCACGTGCCCCGGTACGCCGGCGACGTACAGCACAACGTCAACCGCACTTTACCCGTCAGCATCGCCCCTAATCTACCGCCTCTTCCCTCTTCTAACTCGGCCTCCGACAGCGAGTCTCTGCGCAAAAACAATTGGGAACGCGACAACAGCAACCTCAACGATAAAGTATTCGAGGACAAAATCCAAATAGGTAAGTCCGTGACAAACGTTATCTTTATCTCGCCCTTCAGGTATTTTATTACGATTTTCGTCCGTAACGTTGGTTCCGCAGCTCCAATGTAGATGGCGTCAAACGGTTACAATTAGTTAAGCCGGTACTAACGAGACCGGGATTATACCCGACTAATCGCCTCTTATCGCGATAAACTATAATTGGGCTGCAGTTTGAAAAATTCTAGACATAAATTCCCACGTGGTACATCCGTCTGTCCGTCTGTTCTTTCTTAATAGCCAGAACGGTGTTAGGCAAAAGTCGAGACCGGATATGGAAAGTTTAGGGGCGAGAGGCCTGATAAACTATATACGAACTTCCGCTTTGGGCTATAAGTTACGTTATTTCGATTCAAAAATTTTCTCCCGAACGGAGTTAGATACGTGATCGGCATGACTTCGTTGTAAACGGGAAAAGGTGAAGCTTTTAAAATCGATTGAGCTTTTATAAAAAAATTAAAACTATGGAAAAGAAAAATAAATGAAGTCAGTGGAAACAGTGTTTGTTTTCCAATGATTTCTCTCGAGGTATGAACTCTGTTTTTGAAGAACATTTATCACGGCTTATCGCCTGGTTTGAGAAATATTTTCAAAATGATAATATCGATAAATTCAAGTTTCATTTAATACCAGCGCTTCGTCTGAATTTACTGCTGCGGAAGAACAGACACTTATTGAATTGTCTGGCGACAATACGTTGAAAAGAGAATTTAGCAGCATGGAATTAACTGAACTTTGGATATCAGTAAAAGATGAGTATCCCATCTGAGTGGTACAGCTCAGAGAATCTTAAATTTCATTTGCGACTTTTTATCTGTGATAAAAGCGGTTCTTCCATTTTATTCAGAGAATTGTTCGAACGACGAAGGACTAAGAGGAAAGATCGACGATAAGGAATAGTGCCAACATTTTATAAACCAACGATAAAAACATGGAGTTATGTCGTCGCGAACGCAGCCTAAGTGGTAATAGGAGTGGTAGTGACAAAACGGATACCACGGGCAATCTCTTCGGTACCACTCGTACGTCAAGTTCGAGTGGTACCGAAGAGTGGAAACACTGGCTCTTAGATGTGCCAAGGATGCAGCAACCGCCTCCGAAATAGTCTTTCGGTCTTTTCCACTCTTCCGCCCAATGGTAGTGCTAAAACTCTCTTCGCTACGTTTAATTCGGGAGCAGTTGTCGCCAGTTTCTCTATCGGGTTGTTATTACGGACGTTCTGGGGCCAAACTTTAAGAAGTAAAGCGAAGACGACGTTAGTCTCCGGATTACAGATTGCAATTTGGCCAATATCTCGACGGCAAAGGGAGGAAGGAAACTTTAAGTTGCCTTCAAATAGAATTTAAGACTTTTCATACAGAAACCTTTTTTATGGACAAAGCTCGGGAGAAGTGCTGGCTAACGCGCAACTTGGGCCGCATCTCGGTCAAACCGCTAACGCTGGGAAGTGAAGATCCCGGTGTTAATAAAGGAAAAGTTTTTCGTCCGGCCGACGAAGACGGTCTTTCCGTAAGAGAAAAGGGTCTGGTACAGACGGGACACGTAGCATCCGCACAATTCGTCGGGTTAAACAATTTCGGAAGGGGATAAAAGCGTCCCCATTGTCTATATCGGCTGACCGAAAGGATTTCGTCGAGCTAAAAATTATTCCTAAGATTTGGGTGGCGGACGATGGTTCGGGCCAATAGCCTTTTCGTAAGTTCGAAAGCGCTTTCGTGTGTTCAAACCGATTTTTACTCGGCGTAAACTTTATCGGCATTTTTTTATTAGGTTGTGGCGGGGCAAATGAAAGACGACTTTTGTATTTGCAGATTTAGTCAAGCCAAAATGCAAAGTTCTTTCGGCGTTGCATCCTACACCCGCCGTGCCTTCCCGCGGTCCATCCAGTCTGGGCGTGTCGTCGGCCGCCGCTACCAATTCCGCCGACGACTTACCAGGTAGGGTTTCCAGTTTAAAATGTTCTCGCTGTAAACTTCGGAACCGCGAGAATTTACCTGCGCAAGTGTTCGTCTCGGCTGCGTCCGAGAAAAGGGTCGGGATGTCGAAAGGAGCTAACCGATCCGCAACTCTTATTATTATAACGAAACCGGTCCTATTAACCGCAGTTAGCCGCTATTCGACAATCGTTTCGAATATCGTGGCATTCCCCCGTGCCAGGTGGTTAATTACGAAAAACGCTTAAAGGTGAGCCAAGTGGATCGTGCTACGGAAGAAAAATCCGCCGGTTCGGAGAGGAAAGAGTCGCGCCTTCGTTTAGCCGTAAAAGTCGATTTCTACGAAAGATTAGGATATTTATTGAAAGACGGGAGCGAATTTCTGCCATTCACGTTCCGAAATTCGTTCCTACTTGGACCAGAAGAAGAAATAAAAATTCTTAACCCTACGACCCTAAAGATTTCTCCGAGCTACCGGAGAATGTTCCACTCGCTTTTTTTCGCGGAAGAAGGTCGAAAGCCGAAATTTCTCCCAATTGCAACGGAGTCGAGGTTAGAAATCGGGTGTCTTCCCGGCCCGGTTAACGGATTTTCCTTCGGAAACGTATTTTCTAAAGAATGAAATTTCACGCGCACATTTTCGGCCTCCGCGTAAATGTCTTAAGCAGCTTTTTAGCCGAATTTGGCGGGGCTAAAAAATCCGCCACCGTTCGCCGGAGCGGTCGGGACAGCCTCTCCGGAAAAAAACCGGGTAAAGCCTTGTACTGGCGTGAGGAAACGGACGACGTCGCTTCTGACGTCGAAGTGGAAAATTCTCGACTTTTTCCCGGCGGAAGGGTGAGCTGTCGCCCGGACCGGTCTTTCTCTCGTTTTCCTTTGCGACGCTCTCGTTCCCGTTATAAAAAGCTGCTTTCGTAAGTCGACGGGAGAGGAAGTCCGTTAAACGTTTCCTTCGTCGAATCTTTGTCCTTCTAGGCTCTCCGGCCCGGCGGATAACGGGCGGAGGTAGCGAGTGGAAAAATTTCCTTACGTTAAAAATTTTTTCCCTTTTTATTACCCGGCGGTGGGCGTTAACCGGCGCCGATTTCCCCCGCGTAAAGAACGGACGGAGCGACTTTCTTTTTGTAAAAGTGCGTAACGCCCGCGTTGGCTGCCGAATTTTCTTGCTAAGTACGGACGGTGGCGCTCTCCCCCGCGGATTTAGATCTATCCGGCCGCGGAAAAATACCGTCCGTTTACGTAACTACCGGGGACTGGGCTCGACGGAAATAATAATAATAAATATGGCCGATTATACGCAAATATACTGTACTTTGGCGGGGAGGACGCCTTCTACCGGAGGAACGGCGACGACCTACGCGTATCGATAACCAGCGAATAATACTAGGCGTGGAGAGAGAGTTTACCCGAATGTTCAAATAAAGTAAAATAACGCTGTCCACCAGCCAAGAGCAACTTTTTTCCGAAGGCGGTAGTCGTTTGTTGGTAGGATTCGGTGTTTAACGTTTTATTTGCGGGCGATTACGCACGCGCGTACGTAACGGAGCGTGAGGATACTCGGTCCGATTAATTGGGACGTCGGCAGTATTTTCCGGGATGGCTTTTCTTCCGAGAAAAATTTTGGACGAAGGAGGGAGTCGCTTCCGGCCTACGAAAATCAAAACTTGGCCGCCGCCGAAATGTTTTATTGCAAATTTAAATTTAGAAGCGATTTGTGCAGAAATTTCGTTTGTTAAAGTGGAGCGCGCATCGAACGAGAGGGGGGGGCGCGGTTACGATAAAATCCAAGTCGTTGTAGAATTAAGCGCAGATAATCGAAAACGATTACCGGTGACCGATGGTTTACTAATACCCTGTTTGTTTATCGAACAGCCAATCCACGGCACGGAGCGAAGAAAGAAAACAGAGAAGGTACTTTCCTCTTTTATTCTTTAGCCTTTCTCCTTTGACTTTTTATCCGGTCGGAGATTGGGGCATTTTTATCCGCGTCGCGCCGGACAGGACCAAATAATACTTTCGTTAACGCCCTTTAATATATCTTATCGGGTGTACGGTACGCATCCCTGGTAACCTTAGGTGGCGGGATATCTTAATTCGGATACTCCGGTGACGAGTACGTTCATCGTATTATCGACGCCACTTAATACTCGGACGAAAAATACCGCCCGTACATTACAGACTAAACTAAGTTCGATAGTTTAGTCGAATTGGAGTGCATCCCCACACACTGCTACGACTGTTAGTCGTATTCCATTCGCAATCTATTGAGTTTGAAAGGAATCGTACTGCCCCTCAAACTTTATTATCGGCCAATTTCAAATTGTTTGAGTGCGCGCACTCGCGTGTGTCTTCGAGTAATTTAAACACTAATCAAAATGTCGGTAGTGATCGCGGTCTCTAACTCGACTACAAATTAAGGACGATCGGAAATCGTTTTTTGCAAAATACGTGGAAATCGCGTACGTAAATTTTTCTGGCAATTTTCATCTCTGCGCGACGAAAAAAGAAAGCGTACAAGAAACCGGAGTTCTTCGTACAGGTGTTAGCGCACTGGTTCTTGGTATATAACGATGGACTTTCGTAAACGAGAATAATTGAGTGCTTTAGGGTGCGACTACGCAGACGCCAGAGAGCGACAAGAGGCGAGACGCGATATCCTAAATATCAAAACCCTGTCAGATATGCGCGAGAACCAGAAATTCGCTCTCGCCAACTATATTTCTCGCTTTTCGCTCGCGCGTGGTTTTCCTTCGCGAGAACTATATCGCTCGCTACTAAATTCGCCTCTGCGTAGTCGCGCCCTTAGTGTTCGATGTCGACCTTCGTTCGTCGGCGTTTCTAGCTTCTGTCCGATATTATAATATTTATTCTGTAAATGAGTTTCTGGCGTTTGGTTTTGCAATATTAAAGTATGACTAATTCGGCGCCTGTTATGTCTAATTCTGTTCGAGTAATAAAAAGATGTTCTGTTGTTAGGTCCACTAAAGTTTGAAGTTTGATATCAGTTTTATATTCTGTAGGCCTAATACTAGTGCGGAAGTAGCGGGCCGCATCCGATGGATAACGGGCTTTCCTCGCTTTCGTAATGTTGTGGTAGGACGGATAAACATTAATTAACACCTTCTTCTGTAGCGCTTTGTCGTAACGTTATATATCGCGATTTAGTTAAGTCGGTGGAGGTGATTAAAGTCAGGTTTCCTCGGGAGAATATACGTTGTGTCGTACCCGTGGTCGATTATACGCTTTTTTTCGATCCGCGCAATACTTTTTACTACGTTAGCTGCTTCTCTTTTTTCAGATAATCTTAATTTAACCTCGACGGCATAAGTAATTTTACTGGATGATTCCTCGAACTTTTCCCATTTTTTCTCTCGGTCCACTTTGCTTGACTTCCCATTGTTGGTTTTTTGGTGTTGCGCGGTTCGCAGTAGTTTGCGGTAAATCGACATTTTCGATAATTATCCAATCATAGAGCCATAAATGATTTTTTGTCGAAAAATTTGTTTGATATTTCGATTACGTCTCTTTCGTCTTTGACTCGGACCGACGGAAAACGAAATGTTTCGACGTAACTTGACTAGGATTCGTTAAATTAAACTTTTCTTTAATGTAGTCTACGGTGATATTTCCTAATTCGGATGATTCGCTTATTATTTTATCTTTTTCTCTTAGTTTTTCTAAAAGGTCCTCCCGCTAACTGTAATACGAGCCAAAGTCCTGTTAAACGATAAACGGTTATACATCAAAATCCGCACGTTTCCGCTAACAAGTATCTGTTAGACATAATTATGTGAAACTTTCAAAAATCTGGACAAAATTAAATTAAAATGTAGAAAAACAGAAAAAAGATGCGCAAGTTTTAAAGTTCTAATTATTTAAAATAAAGTGTAAAAATCTCTTCTGTTCGCGATTATTTTATACAAAATCTTACCATTGACTATTATTAATAAAATATATATTAAAATACACACCTTCGTGAATTACTATCCGTCCCAATCTAAATATATAAAATTACTTGTCCTGATTGACTGAGTCACTGATTGATTGATTCATCATCGCCCAGAGCAAACCGCCGAACCTAAAAAGGTGAAATTTGGTACACAGTTAGGGTACGTCATGAAAACGCACACTAAGAAGGGATTTTTCGAAATTCCCCCGCGGGCAGGAGAGGGAGAGGATTTAGTCTTCATCGAGTACTTAGGTGTATTAAATTAATAACATTTCAGACATTGTTATAAATATTTATATGTATTTCGATTTTAAAAATGTTCGACCGTTTTAAATTCGAATTCTTTATCGCGTATAGGTTCGATTATAGAACGGTTGTAAACGTTGCAGAAAATTGATCAAATCGAAAACAGTTGGTTTGATTCTCGGCAATTTTCATCATTCTCAGCGGTAGGTGTTATATAACAATTACTATGATTGTTGAAATACTGAATACTAGCTTTTACCCGCGACTTCGTTTGATCAATTTTCTGGAACGTTTACAATCGTTCTATTATCGAACCAATGTGCAATAACAAATTCGAATTTAAAACGGTTCGAACATTTTTAAAATCGAAATGGATAAAAATATTTATAACAATGTCTGAAATGTTATCAATTTAATACACCTAAGTACTCAATGAAGACTAAACGTAGTTGAAAACAAAAAATCGCATCTAAAATAGTACAGTAGAAGCCGTTCTTCCGGTTAAGCCTTAATCCTGTTCCTCTAACCCCCGCGGGGGAATATCGAAAAATCCCTTCTTATAAAGGCTGAGGCTGTTATACACGGTAAGGAAATCCTTTGAGGATTAACCGTGATTTTTTTTTCTATCTATCCATTTTTAAATAAAAATAATTCTTTATACGTTGGGAAATATTTTAATAAGTTTTGTAAATTACTATGTTCGATCCAGCCAGTTATATCCGATTTTTTTCATCTGTTAAGTACTGTACAGTACATCCTTTGAGGATTTCCGTAACGTGTATAACAGCCTTTAGTGTGCGTTTTCATGACGTACCCTAACTGTGTACGAAATTTCACCTCTAGGTTCAGCCGTTTGTTCTGGGCGATGATGAATCACCCAGTCAGTCAGTCAGGACAAGTAATTTTATATATTTAGATAAATGGGGTTTGCTTGCAAAATCCGCGCGGGCAATGCCGCTGCAAATTAATTACTAGTAATTAATAAAACAAATAAATAAAACAATAATGCGAGTAATCGTATTCGTATAAACATTTCTCGGTAACAAAGTTACGGTCGTTCCGATCGCCGAGCCATAATACTGGAGCGACAGGCCCCGAGAATTTAGTCAAGCCGGTAAACGTGGAAGGAACGTAGTAAGGTCGTTGCTTAAAGTCGTAATTCCGTCGACCATTACCGCTTTTTATTTATTTATTAAGGTTTGAAATTAACTCGAAAGTCTGGCGTAAGTATTACACACCTGTGCGCGCATTACGAAAGCTTTATAGTTAACGATAGGAGATACGTTTTACAGTTAATAAGGAAAACGTGTGTTTAACTTGTTTTATTTAACGAACACGACACGCTACTTGTAATCACAATAAAACGAATGGAGTAGTAGAACTATACATTTATCCTATACGTAAATTTAAATCTTAATATTTATTTTTAAATACAAATACGGAGGAATGACGAAAAGTGCTGCCCATAGAAATGACGAGTTATCGAAACCCAACTTCTAACGTAAATTATTGGCTGGGGTAAGATTTTCAACAAAAACATTTATACACTATAAAGGGATTTTCTGACGTTAAATCTCGTCGTATAGCCGAAATTTTTCTTCTCGATAATTTTTAGCTTATTATTAGCTTATCTCGGCAAAAAAAAAAACAAAAAAGGGAAAATAAAATACAGCAACGAGTTGCATCATTTTCTCGGCTTTATGAGATTTTGTTTTAAAAAAAATTTTCATATTATTACTGTAATTATTATAAAATGGTAAAATTCTTAATTTTGAGGGTAGAGACGAGTTTCATGAAAACATTGCAAATGCAAATAACCAGCAAAACGTCATTAAGTGCGATTCCTGTCGAGATATGACAAGCGACTCCATTCTCCCCACCTTTAAGCACCAAAATGTAATAGCATCGATCTCCTTATATACGAGCTCCACCATACTACATTTCGTTTCTTAATCATTAACTCTTCCGTGGATATTAAACGAAACAGACTCCAACGGACACCCGCCAGTTTCATGTAAATCTCGCGGGTAAAATTTGACACAGTTCTAACAGTATTTTCCTTTTTTACGTATACATAACAGCGGGGAAAGTAAAAAGCGCATTCGAAAAATATCGGCGGAAAGGAACTACACGGGATCGAAAGGTCTGGAGATTTTTAATAAGGTGTAACTCGACACCCGCGTAAAATAGAAACTACCGGATCGGAAAATTAAACAGAGCGTGAAAAAGTACTGGTAGTAGAGCCCGACTGGAATGCCAGATAAATATATTTTATAATCGTGTTGCGCGTAGAATAAAAATATATTTTACGGAGACGAGTGAGATGGAAGGTTTTTCCTGAAGCCAGAGATGTACGCACGAAACGTGTTAGGCCTATAGGAAATGTTTACTTTGTCGTTTTTACGTTATTCTGTATCTCTACCTTCTCTTTTTCAACGTCGAGTTGAAAAGAAAACCTTTCCCACAATTCGGAGGTTGGTTGTCTCGGAGTCCACCGCCAGTAGTAACGTAGAGATTCCGCTCAGTTACGTGTAGCTGCACGGTTCCGACTGGACTACGCCAACTATTTCCTTTACCGTGAAGGACCAGTTTTCCCCTTGGACGCGCCTACGAAATCTTCGCGGAAGATTAGCCTGGCCTTTCGTACACCCGTTGTCTATTGGTGGGTTCTCGGCCCGTTACAATTTCAATTTCCTGATAATACTTAACGTTTAGGAAGGGACGACTTAGGGTGCGACTTTGCAGACGCGAATTTAGAGCCAGCGATTTAGTTTTCGCAAAGGAAAACCATGCACAAACGAGAAGCGAGAAATAACGCTAGCGAGAGCGAATTTCTGGTTCTCGCACATATCTGACAGGTTTTGATATTTATCGCTTCTCGCCAAATATTCTCGCTCGCTCGCGTCTGCATAGTCGCACCTTTACGGTTAGACTCGAAATCCGTTTACAAGTAAGCTTAAAATCGTTGAACCTATCTCTTTTTGCCGTACGGCATTTTCTGTCCAGATTCTATTCGGAAGTCCTTAAAGTCGAAGCGACGAGGGACTGCACTCGTTCAATCTGTGCCTATTTTAGGGGAGACGGGTGAAGGGTCGAGACAGTTCGATAGTCGGCTAATTCGCTAGAATCCTTAAGCCGCGCGGTTACATCGGTCTCAAACACTTTTTCTTGAACGGAGACCGCGGGATTTTTTCGAAAACGAGGAGCGCCGGCATCGGAAAAGGAAAGCCTTAAGTCGCATAGATTTACGGACAAAGACAAAAGAAAAAACTACTCCGAGGAATTAAACGATTCTCGGCGGTGAGGGGAACGTCGGAAAAGACCGTTCGTTCGATTTTAAAAGAACCCGAGAGAGGTTAGAATCTCCCGGTAGAAAAGATCGCGGGTGTTTGAACCGGTTCCGGTCACCCTCTCTGCTCCGAAATAGGCGCAATGCCCGGTTTTACCCGGACTGCTGTTTACCCTTGACGCAATTAAGCTCTGTGTTTGGAACGAGAGTGCGCCTCGGCCGTAAGCACGTATTTTGAAAAATTACAAAGGTGGAGTGGGTCCGGCGCGCGTAATCGGCGATAGGACGAACGTGGAATTTTTAAGAGCCGCTCTTAAAAATTCGAAAGTAACATCGCTCTCGCAAGTACCAAAGAAATGGCCCCAAAATAAATAAAGAAATTCTTGCGTTGTGTCCGGCGGTTTCCCTTGGTTCGGACTTTCTCCTTCTTAGAAATTATTTACTTTCCGTCCCGACCCTTGATTTAACCGACTTCCCCTTTTTTTCTTGCAGATCTCCACTGGGACTACTCGGACTGGACTGCAGATTCTGGCCGGCGCGACGCTTCCCACCGCCGACGTTCCCAAGATTCGCGTGCCGACAGCCGGCGCCTCCGACTCCCTCCCCCGGCGGCGGGGGGAAAGTCCCCGGTCGACCCGCCCCGCCCTCCGGATTCGCCACCCGAAACCGAAGACCCCGACCTTCCCGACTCCTACGTCGGCGACTCTGAATACAACGACGAGGAAGCGGATGCCGTCCGGACGACGGCCGCTCCCGACTTCCGGCGGCTGCTGTCCGACCTGGAGTTTGCGGACGACGGAGTGGACACTCCTTCTCCCTCGCCCGACAAGTACCGCAGCCACCCCGACAGGTACCTGCCCGCCCACTTCCCCTCCTCCGACACGAGTCCCGACTCCTCGCTCCGCCCCGGCGACGAGGACGAGGTGGTTCCCTACGGATTTCCCTGTCAGGGACGTCGGACTTTCCACCCCGAGACGGAGAACGGCGATCCCGCCTCGGCTCTGGATTCGCTGTCGCTGTCGGTGGGCGGTTACGCCTCCACCGACGCCTCCTACTCCGACGTTTCGGGCGCCGTCTGCGAGATCGACGACAGCGACGCCGACTGCGAGGCGGCGGGCAGGCGGATGCCCCGCCTCTTTCGGGACAGGACCACGTCCACCGCAGTGTGAGGCGGTGCCCGAACTTCCTTTTTTCTTCTTCTTCCGGTCGCCCCCGGGGGCGGGCGGCCGGCCTTTTTATAAGCCGAAGGTTAGACGGAAGGAGTCGTTAGCACTTTTTTTATCGTCGCCCGACATTTTAAACTCTTGAACTTTTTACCGACGCGCGTTTTGCCAAATTCTTTCCTATTACGATTTTTGTAGCGGAGAATCCGCCGAAAACCCACTGCCTTTCGAATCGGGTCCGTCGATTTCCGTCGGTAGACGAAACGTGCGTAGAAGATATTTAAGAGTCGTTTACTACCTACTTTATGTATATTGCCACTTTATGTAAATATGGCTGTCGAATACATCGGACATTCCATCCACTTCTCTGTGTGTGTCTGTCTCTCTCTGCCGTTCGGATTGATCCCACTTAACGCCTAACGTCATATACATCCTACATCGGAGGCCGTCCCCCGAAAATACCTAAAAATAATTTTTGCCGTCGGAAATTCTCTTGCGGAAGCGTCTTTATCGTAGTTTTTCCACCCGGACTGTACGCGGAAACAGGTTTTATCTCCACGCTCCCGTGGAAAAGTGTCCTTGCCTTTAAGTCTCCACCTCCGGTCTACACCACCCTGGCGATACGTGCCCGGCGGAATTGCCGAAGAATCTGCGCCACCGGTTGCAGTTTTCGTCGTATTATACGATATTTACCCGTTTTATCTGTCGTTTTCGCCCATTAAGGCATTTATCGCCTTATTTTTATTTTCAATTACGCGTATCCGCTGTTGGAGTTTATCGTTCGGGATCCGGTAAGGCATTAATTGGCTTTCCATTGTTTCTACCGGGAAAAATTCCATTCCACTTCCGACCGTTTGGGGTTCGAACGAGCTCGGAAGTAAGGGGCAAGCAAACGTGATTGTGCGTACGTATTATATTCACGGTGGGAAATCTTTACCGGTATACGAGTATAACGTATTGTGTAACGTTTGGCCGCGTGCAGTTTTTTTACACTTTAACGATTTTAACATTTTAAGCTAAACACCCGGTCTTAGACCCAGCGGGTGGGCTTTTTTACCGTCTAGGCCAAATCCGCGCGTGGTATTAACTGATCGGCCCGGCGTGCGCGTCCGGGAGCCGCGCAGGTTCGACCTTCGGACTACGATGCGGGTGCGGAAGAGGAATCTTGTCGGTTTCTTATTGGCCGAATCTTTCCGGCTCATCGGATCCCGGGAGGCCAAAATGTGGTTTCCGAGAAAACCCCGCTATAATTTACGCGCCGGTGGCCAAAATTTCAAATTATTCCTTTGCCTATCCCGGCGGTAATCGTAGGAATAATTTGAAAATTTCTCCGGATGGGGGTAGGGATAGGCGGCGGGTGTTATCTTTGAAATTTTGTTTTCGCGGAGGCCGTCCAAAGTTTAAAACAATTTTGTTTTTTCATAATTTCCCCGGATTAACCCGCGTTTAAGAGTTTCCCGAATTTAATGACTGCAGCCTCAAAAGACGGGACTCTCGGCTCAGTTTTAAAAAAGAACTGGAAACACTATACCGGAAGGCGCTCTTTTTATCGCATTTCCCATCTCCTCTTCCTAATTTCGGTCGGACGTAAAACGCCCATCGTTGATATAAACGTTTACATTTGTTAATTTCCGGTAAAGAGTTTAAGCCTTGACCGATACCGCTCTCCTGGCGTGGCTGACGTGCGGCACTCCTCTTCGTAATGCGGTTTCTTATTGTACTGTACTGTACGTAATATAAAAGCTTCCTGCACGGCTTATGTCCCTGAAGATATTTCGTACGCCGCCCAGTGGAGATATCGGAGTGTTGGGGCCTCGTTATCCGGGCCGTCGATACAGGCTTCTATCGTAATTGGTGTCGTTTTCACGCCCCTGGTGATTACGTATTTTTTTTCGCTTTGTCGCGCCTTATCGTAGGATGTTTCCGGTATAATAAACGAGCCAACGAAAATTTAACTTTTATCTGCTGTGTCGACAAACAACCACGTTAACATTTACCGCGGTCGTTTGGATTTTATCTTTGTCCGATTTGCCTTACCGCGATATACCGGCCTTTAAATAGTACCGAGGGAATGCGGACGAGAGTAGGAACCGCATGTTTTGTCTTGTTTTTCGTGGTGTTGGTAACGTTAAACGTATCGATGGATAAAGCTGATGGCGAATTTTACTAAGGATTCTTACTTATTTTCCTGTGTTTAGAACTCGAGTTTCTGCGTTAAATACGTATGTCGTTCTTTCGATTATATTACTAATGCCAATCGTTTACCGCTGCGAACACGATACCATTAACCTAGCCGGCGTAACGTAAAAAGTACCCTTTGGGACGAGAGTACAAATCAGCACTCTTGCCCCCCAAATTACTGTTTAGTAATACAGTATTAATAAAGTGTAATTGGTTCAACTAGCTTGGTTAATTGAACCTATCCATTTCGTTAAATTAAGATCGGCAAATTCAATTTAAATTCATTTTTATAATCGAGATGGGTTGATGATAACGGTTAGGAGTTGAAAAATTCCCCTATGGGAAAGTGGAAAAGGATTAACGTCTTAATGTTCGAATTTATATTTATGAATGTTTCTGGAAGATCCGACTTAACCTAAATTGCCAAACCATCGCCTAAATATCGGGCTATTATATGGCTACTTAAATCATTAGAATAAAGCAATTTGTCATAGGAGGTAGGCGTTAGGCGCCATCTCGTAAGTAAATTAATAATTAAAATTAAATAAATAAATAATTAAATTAAATTTAGAACTTTCTGGAATAAAAGCTGGCCCGGGACGGGGCTTGAACCCGCAACCTCCGCTTGCTGTGCGGTGCGCTACCAGTTAGTATATATAGTATATACTAACTGGTATATACATATATACTAACTATATTTATATATATTTGTATATTAGTATATTATATTTATATATATAAATTATATATACAAAAATACTAACTATATATATGTATATTTAGTATATATACTATTCGGGCTTTGTGTTGTTATTTATATAGATCTGACTTTATATAGATCTTTGAAATTAATCTTGAAGAAGAACTAGGAAAAGAGTTGCGAGAACGTTTGTTGTTCATCACTTAATGGTACGCACCGGTCAGAGGTTGCAGTAAGTTTTAATTATCGTTTTTCCGGTGTGGTAAGCGGATATCTAAAAATTCTCTAATTAGTCTGGGAAGAGAGGGAACCTAATTTTTGCATCCGGTGAAAACAAGTAAGATCGGCCATAATCTAATAATACTAATCTTTGCTATCGTTACTTTTTGCCCGAGCAACGCCGGGCTCATCTGCTAGTTGAAATATACTGGAACTGGAATAAAGGTAGAGGGCTGTCGTAACTTAGCCACAAGAGGAAGGAAAGTATGGAGTGGGGTAGAGAAGGGAGAGGGAGTGGGAGGGAGAAAGGGTTGAAGGTAGAGTAAAGGTGGGTCCCATTCACTTCGCGCATTGCACTAAATGATAAAAGAACATCAAATATGGGGAAATACGGACAAAATGACATACGGTTTTATTTTAGGTTCATAACTCTTTATTGGTAAAGCACAGCACTGTCATATTCTACACCAATTATCTTTGGTTTTTTACCTATGAAACATGATAAACATTTACAATATTAAAATAATAGGAAAAAAATATTATTAGTTTAATCGAGATCATCCACTATGGACAAAATGACATATACTATGGACAAAATGGCACATTACGTAAAGACAAAATGACATACGTACACGTAAAAACTATAAAATTACTGACAAAGTTCACAAATGAAACGCTTGGTTCTTTTAGAAACGTCAGCGCAAGAAGCGTGAGCCCAACAGAAACAATTTAAGCACCGTAATCTGTCTCCTCCAGACTTAGATCGGGAAAAAAGATCATCGCAATATATGCGCGGACAGTCTTCTTCATCATCATGAGAGTTATCAGGAAAATTTTCTTCTTCAAGTAACTTTTTAGTAATATTTCGTTTCCTTTTCTCTGGCGGAGCTTTGGACACATTTTTTTTTTTGATTCAATTGCCTTCATATTAGGAGTAGAAGTTAAAACTAAAGAGGTTTGTCGAGTCACGTGATTCGTTGCAAGTTTTTTGTTACGTGGAAGATAATAAGTTTGTAAATAATATGTAAGAAAGGATATAAAGTTTTATACTAAAATTTTTTCAAACAATAATGAAAGACTGTTTGGAAGACATTTTTGATAATTAATAAAACGTTAAGAGATTAAGGCAAGTTCCTTAACTAAGCTCTTATAGACTAAATAACAGGTATTTCATTATGTCTGTTGTCTATGTATGTCGTTTTGTTCATATAACGTTATAAAAAACAAAATTATAAAATAAATACAAAGATGTTACTTTTAATGGAAAAAGTTATTTAAGTGCAACAACAAACTCTTGAGGGTTGAAATAAATGTTACACAAATGGATAAAATAGTGAAAAAATTACCATCTATACCAGTGATGGGCAAACTTTTTAAAGAGTGGGCCAAAGGAAAAGAAGAAAACTTTAGGCGGGCCAATATAAGTGTAACCTAGCGCTGCATCTGAAAATCCAGGTGGCGCTATAAAAACATGTGCAGGCCGTCCGCCATATTTCTTTTTCTCTCTTTCGGCTACGCTACGCGCGANCGCATGTTCTTTCATTTAACTTGTCATGGGTAACCTACCTCGTTTATTTTACAACGGTTTATAGGTCAAAAGAACGGACGAACGAATTCGTACGGAACGTGATCATACGTCAATCCACGAGATAAACCGACATTTTTAAAAGAATATATATTTTTCCCCAATACTAAATTTAACACTAAACAGATTATAATATTTAATAACAAATAAAACATAAATTAAGAAATATCACCGAGAGAAGCAGACGACTTCTTTATAATATCGTTAACGAGTTCCACCTGGTGTCGAAAATACTAACTAATAAATTCTCTGCAGTCGGTCTTTCAAGCAAACCATTTCATTCAGAAATAAGGTTTAAAATGCTTATCTGACAACTTATTTCGCTGGAATTTCATGAAGGTAGGACGGATAATCGTCTCCGATTAATTCATTTACGTTTTTATTATATTAAATTCAGTAAATATAACCGAAATGATCGTTTTCTAAGCCTAACTATATTACTTGTGATGCGTAGTCTCCATATAGGAATTTAATATATAAATTTTCTTAAATGGATAGAAATATTTGCCTTTATTTANAAAAAACAATAAAAAAATTTTCCCAAAAGTCTTTTCCTAATCAAAATTCTTTTTATTTGTATTATGTCATGTCCTCCATTTCTATACTACTAATTCATGAATTAGCAATCACAAAAGGTGAGAATTTTATTGAATTCTCATTAAAAAAATTTTTTATCTGTTCATCTCTGCTTCCCTAAGATTAAATCTACTGTTCATGTTAAATGTGTAACAATGTAATTTAAACATTAAAAGAAAAGAAAATTTCATTTGTATATTAAATATAGGTTACGTTAGTATTAAAATTTTAACTTGTATATTGAGATAATCAAAAATGTTTGGTTTTTTTCTTTTAATACAATACAACTATAAATATTATGTTTGAGGTCATAGAATATAAACATATCTTCTGTTGAAACAAAAAGAATAGTATTCAATGCCTGTTTGTTTAATTAATAGAACTATTATTATTGTTGTAAGACAGTTTAACTTTGTTTTCTATTTAAGTATGTTTTTGAACTTTGAAATGAAAACATTGTGATTAATTTATTTATTCTAGAAAATTAAAAGATAAATTTATCATTTTAATTAAAAACAATTTGATTGTTTTATAGTCAATGTCATTCTCTTAATTTTATTTTTCAACTCTTTCTTATTTATAAATATTTTTGATTAATAACCATTAACAAAATTTTATATGATGGAATAATGTAAAAGATTTTGACTGTTGTTGTTAATTTTAATTAAAACATTTAAGTAAAATATCAAATATTATATAATGTTAATTAATATTATTANATATTTGAGTAGCCCAAGACATAGACAAAGATTGAAGCGCCACAGCACTGGCAAAAATTTAAATTTGCCGACTGGAATTCTTTCGGATGATTGACTTTCGGAAAATCGACGCTCTACTGTAGTAATGTTGTTAATTTTAATTTAATGTTAACATTACTATTGTTTTTTTAACTTAATTAATATAATGATTCATGTAATTGTAAAAGTATCTTAAACAGTGATTTTAATTTCAAATATTTAAAATGGATATTATAGTTATTTTTAGATAAGTTAAAAATAGTCAAATATTTTAAAAATGTAACATATTTTAGATTTAAGTTAATTTTCAGATAATAATAATTTTCTGTTAAATTTATTTCTCAAATAAATTTATTATTTTTAAGTAATTTTATTAATGGAAGCCAAATATCAATATATCTTTTCAAATTTAATTTCTTCTAAATTGATGTATAACAACAACAATCAAAAATTAAAATAAAAACTTTATAATTAATAAATTAATTAAATGAAAACAGTTTTGTAAATAAAGATTAAAAATTTATTTTAATTGTAAATATTCACCTCAAATATAAGGATTTAATTTCTCAGAATTTTTAATACATGTATATAAAGTTGTCAGCAGCTAATTACTTATATGCATTTGTTTAATAGTAATAGCGGAATAGTAATAGTTAGTTGTGTTTATCGCCGGATGGTAGAGGTTTCCTTGCCCTGGGTAATATTTATCGATTCCATGCTTCTTTATATTCAATAATAGATCTAGGCTGTTTCTTGGGTATTCATCTTTTTGGATGGCGGTTTTTAGATTTTCCTCTGTACGCCTTTCTATGTTGTTGTTCAAAATATTCCATTTCCAGAAGATCCTTTTAATCTTTATATGGATAGGCATGATGTTGGCAATACAAGTAGTGCGTCCGTTGGCGCAGCCCTATACGCCCTGCATATCCGGATTGCTAAGCTCCTCTGGACCGAGAGGAGACGCTGTTTGTTTTGTACCAGGGAAGCCCTTTTTCCCCAAATTTGAGCCGCGTATAGCAGAGCAGGCTCAATGGCTCCTTTATAAATGGTAGTGCAGCTTTTTGCGCCTAGTCCTCACGTGTTTCTGGCTATATGATATAGCATATTCGCTCTTTGTTTTGCCTTCTTGCAAATTTCCTCTATATGTTGCTTCCAACTCAGGGTTGGATCGAGGATAGCATCCAGGTACTTTAGGTGGGAGGTTATCTTTATTCTATGTCCATTCATGTATATATAGAGTGGCCTTTGTAATTGCTTCCTTTTTGATCTTTTTGTACTAGTGTTGTAACGAATAGTATATTCGGCCTCAGGCCGAATACCGAATATTCGGCCAAACTATTCGGCTTGATTAACGCACGTAATTGGCGCACAAACCGCATTATGGCAAGGACTCTGCTCTCTATTGGCTCGCTGTCACTACGCTTCGCCAATCGCGTTAATTCTTGGGAGTTGTAGTGGACAGACAAGAATGTAATGGAAGTATGTGATAAATGATGATATCAAATGTGGATAACAATGAAATGACCTACATGTGTAAATAACGGAAAAAGAACAGAGAAGGACCGCGAAGTGAAAATGTGAAAATAAATATGAAATTGAGTTGATAACATAATCGAACAAGTCGAGGCAGCTTATTGGCACGAAATTCGGGACAGTCAATGCCAAACAATTGTTGTCATAGACTTCAGAAAGCTAAATGCTTGTAATGAAAGTCACTTAGCGTGCACGGGCGAAAGCCTGGGGCCGTTCGGGCTATCAAG